TAATATGAGCAAAGCAGGGGTTGAATTTTCACACAGCCCCCACTGAGGCACACAGAAGGATACCCCAAAGTATGTTGCTTTGGCATGCAGAGCACTTCTGAGTTAAAGGAAAATGAAAGGCCCTAGAAACTGCCTCAGAACCAAGGATTTTCTAACCTTCTCTTGTTTCTGCCCTCTTGAGTGCAGGGAGGGGCTCTGTATTAGTCTGTTCTCATGCTGCTGTGAAGAAATATCTGAGTCTGGGTAATTTATAAAGGAAGAAGCTTAATTGACTCACAGTCTGCATGGCTGGGGAGGCCTCAGGAAACTTACAATCATGGCAGAAGGCACCTCTTCACAGGGTGGCTGGAGAGAAAATAAGTGTCCCGTGAAGGGATAAGTCCTTTATAAAACCATCAGATCTCATGAGAACTAACTCACTGTCAGGAGAACAGGATGGGGAAAACCACCCTCATGATTCAATTATATCCACCTGGTTCCTCCCACAACACGTGAGGATAATGGAAACTATAATTCAAGATGCGATTTGAGAGGGAACACAGCTTAACCATATCAGGCTCTCTCTGGAAGTTCCTTATCTGACTAAGGAAAATTTCTTCCAAAACAAATGCAATTGTCTCAATTTCTGTGAATACACAAAGTGGCTCCCAAATGCTGAGGAACCAAAGATGGGAGAAGACAGATCCAGTTTGTTGGTTTTGGATGATTTATTAAAGGAACTTATAGACAGAAGTATGGTCTTGGGTGGTGGCAAAACAGGTACTGCACTGTTATTCCCCACACCAGGGCTATACATATACCATAGGGAAAGGGGATGCTTGCTCCAGCAAGCCAATTAAAAGCAACCCTTCAGGACAGGCAAGAACGCTGTAGGCATCATAGCCTATGATTTGTGTGATAACATCAAGGTCAACATACTCTTACACTAGGAACAGTAAAATAGGAATCAGGAGGCATCCACGGGACTGGGGTTAATCAGAAGCCAACATGGTGGATTAGCATCCAAAATAACCAGAAAAGATTAACCACCACAAATGAGACTAAAAGTTGTCACCATGCCCGGACAGACTTTTCATCTATTTTGCTGAGGGCAATTCTGAGAGATTACCTGAGAATCTGCATAAGACTACCTTCGTTTGCAGTGCAGTTCTGCCCCTCACCTTCCCATAACTTGTCCCATTCAGTTTCTAAAAAAAAATAATAATTTACAAACTGTTGTCTGCTTTTTAAAAACTTGTATTTTAGTTCCAGGAGTACACGTGGAGGTTTGTTACACTGGTAAATTGCATGTCATGAGGGTTTGGTGAATAGATTATTTTATCACCCAGGTAATAAGCATAGTACCCGATAGTTTCTTGATCTTCACCCTCCTCCCACCTTCCACCTCCATGTAGGACCCCAATGTCTGTTGTTTCTATCTTTATTTCCATATGAACCCAATGTTTAGCTCCCACTTATATGTGAGAACATATGGTGTTTGGTTTTCTGTTCCTGCATTAGTTCACTTAGGATAATGACTGCTGGCTGCATCCATGTTGCTGCAAAGGACATGATCTCATTTTTTTTATGACTGTGTAGTATTCTATGATGTATATGGCAGCACATTTTCTTTATCCACCACCGATGGACATTTGATTCCATTTTTGCTATTGTGCATAGTGCTGTGATGGACATACACGTGCATGGGTCTTTATGGGAGAACGATTTCTATTGCTTTGGGTATATACTCGATAATGGGACTGCTGGGTCAAATGATAGTTCTGTTTTAAGTTCTTTGAGAAGTCATCAAACTGCTTTCCACAGTGACTGAACTAATTTGCCTTCCCACCAGTAATGTGTAAGCATTCCCTTTTCTCCACAAACTTGCCAGCATCTGTTATTTTTTGACTTTTTAGTAGTAGCCATTCTGACTGGCGTGAGATGGTATCTCATTGTGGTTTGCTCTGAGTCCATTCGATCCTCCTAAAAATCATTTACAATCCTTCAAATTGCCTACATTTCCCCCATCTCCCTCTATGTAACTTTCAATCATTTGCATATTTTTGGGACTCCTGTGTCCATGTGCATGTTTATAAATTTGTATGACTTTTCTCTTGTTAATCTGTCTATTGTCAGTTCATTTCAGGGATCCTTTAGTGGGTGGAGAGGAAGCGTGTCCTGCACTCCTACAATAGTGTCACTGTCCAGTACTGGCTCAAGCTAAAAACCTATGTGCCAACCTTGTGGCCCCTTTCCTTCTCCACCATCACCAAATGCTGCTGGCCCTCTAAATGAGGAAGGTCTCCACTACCTTTGCCCTAATGTAAGGTTTTTTTTTGTTTGTTTTTTTGAGATAAGAGTCTCACGCTGTCACCCAGGCTGAAGTACAGTGGCATGATCTTACATCACTGTAGTCTCTACCTCCCAGGTTCAAGCAATTCTCCTGCCTCAGGCTCCTGAGTAGCTGGGATTACAGGTGCCCACCACCATGCCTGGCTAAGTTTTGTATTTTTAGTAGAGACGTGGTTTCACCATGTTGGCCAAGCTGGTCTCGAACTCCTGACCTCAAGTGATCTGCCCCTCAGCATCCCAAAGTGCTGGGATTACAGGCAGGAGCCACCATGCCCAGCCTAGTATGTTTTAAGTTACAACCATCCTCTCGGCTCTTGGGCCTCTATTGACCTCCCAACTGGCCTTCCTGCTTCACATCCATTGGCCATGGAGTGATCTTTAAAAGCCTAAGTCGGCCAGGTGCGGCAGCACTTTGGGAGGCTGAGGCGGGCAGATCACAAGCTCAGGAGATTGAGACCATCCTGGCTAACACAGTGAAATCCCGTCTCTACTAAAAATACAAAAACTTAGCTGAGGGTGGTGGGATGTGCCTATAATCCCAGCTACTCAAGAGACTGAGGCAGGAGAATCGCTTGAACCCAAGAGGCAGAGGTTGCAGAGCCAAGATCACACCACTGCACTTCAGCCAGGGTGACGGAGCGAGACTCCATCTGAAAAACAAACAACCACCCCCCTAAAATAAAAGCCCAAGTCTGATCATTTCACTCTCCCATGTAGGATTCTTCATTGTCTTTCCTTTGCTCTTTGGCATAAACCAGAGGTCCCCAACATCTTTGGCATCAGGGACAAGTTTTGTGGAAGACAGTCTGCGGTGGGTGGGGCAGTGGTTTCATGATGATTCAAGTGTATTCCATTTATTGTGCACTTCATTCCTATTATTACTACATTGTAACACACAACGAAATAATTATAGATTTTATCATAATGTAGAATCAGTAGGAGGCCCGAGCTTGTTGTCCTGCAACTAGATGGTCACAGCTGGGGGTGATAGGAAACAGTGACAGATCATCAGGCATTAGATTCTCATTAGGAGCCTGCAACCTAGATCCCTCGCTGCTCACCTCCTGCTGTACAGCCTGATTCCTAACAGGCCAAGGATCGGTACTGGTTGGGGACCCCTGGTGTAAACTCACTCCATGAAGTCTTGCATGATAAGGCCCAGCCATGACAACATCATTTTTTCCTTAAACACATTAAGTTTCTTCCCATCTCTGGGCCTTTGGGATACTGTGCCTTCTGCCAGGAACACCCTCTCTGTGTGTTTGGCATGGTGACAACTCATGTTTGATTCAAACACATGAAATCTCTGATAGCTATGGCTACAGCATCCTCTCCCAGTTACCTACCACCCTTACTTCTCTTCAGCACCCTTGGTCTAATATTTGGTTTACTTGTTGTAGTAAGGTGGACTACTAAGGACCCTAGTAAGGACTCTAAGGCAGAGCCCATGGTCCCCTCTGTGTTTACCTGCCCTTGGGTGACCCCTTCTCATGAGAGTGGGTATTGGTTCCTGGGACTCATTTCTAACCAGCAGAACATGGATAGACTGGTCCAATGTTTGTGATTGTGCCTGCATGATTATGTTCTCTAAGAATGTAATGTCTATCTTGCTGAGACTGTCCCTTGATGGCTTTGAAGAAGCCATTGGCCATAGTGAACTGTCACAGGGAGAGGAATGTGCAGTAAGGAACTGAGGGCTTAAATCCTGTTGCTAGTTGGATGCTGCCAATGACCATGTGAGCTTGAAATGTGGTCCTTAGACCCCAAATGAGAAAGCAGCCTTGACGACAGTGTGATCACAGGCTTACAAAAGATGTAGCCAAGCCATTCCTGGACCCCAAACACATGAAAAATGTGAGATTAAAAATGCCTGCTCTTTTAAGACAATAGTTGGTGGCTAACTATTATATAGCAACAGATAACTAATATGCTTGCTTACTCACTCTTGCATTAGAAAGAAAACTTCAGGAGGGAGAGCAGGGATCCTTGCATTCTTTATTAAAGCTGCAGAACCCAGCTGGGTAAATAGCATAGAAAGATAGTATCAGATGCTTGCATGAATGAAGGAAACATCCAATAAACAGTGTTAATATTAATAGTTATATTAACAGTGGGCTGACTTATTGCCTCCTCTGTTTTTTGAATATCCACCATCCCAGCCCTACCCCATCTGTAGATCCCATCCTCCTAGCCACTGTCACTGGTCTGGGGTTGCTCACATGACCTGTCTGTCCAATCAGAGCCAAATCCAGAATATTTGTATATATTGTTGGAAAGAAGCAGTTTTCTTGCCCGGGATGGAGCTTCTGGGACCTCCACATGGAGTGGGCCTGTCTGCAAAGGCAGCTCACACTGAGGAAAGCTGTACTGAGATATGAGGGGTGAGAGATGCCTAATGACACCACCCAGCCACTGCAATTAGCAGCCAGCCCCTCAAGATCTACCCCTTGGCTTTTCTTTTTCCTTCTCCCCACCACCTCTCTTTTTAAAGTAATATTGAACTGGGTATCTACCATGAGCAACTAAAGAAATTCCTATTACCCAGCACCACCATGAAATTGACAGAGGAATAGGTCTGATGTATGGAGCAGAGGGGAAAAGAGTAGAGAAAAGAAGCCCACCCAGATAAATATTTAATGAAATGCCACAGCAAATAAACCACTCAATAATTCCACTGGGAAATCCCATAGGAAGTTTTATTTTTACTTTCTAGTCCTTTAGCATTTTTATTTTAAGAAATGGCTTAGGCCAGGAGTAGTGGCTCACACCTACAATCTCAGCAATTTGGGAGGCTGAGGCAGGTGGATCACCTGAGGTTGGGCGTTCAAGACCAGCCTGACCAACATGATGAAACCCTATCTCTACTAAAACAACAGCATCAAAACAACAACAACAAAAACTAGCTGGGCCTGGTGGCAGGCACCTGTAATTCCAGCTACTTGGGAGGCTGAGGGAGAATCGCTTGAACCCAGGAGTCGAAGGTTGCAGGGAGCCAAGATTGAGCCATTGCACTCCAGTCTGGGCAACAAGAGCGAAACTCCGTCCCAAAAAATAAAAAGGAAGGAAGGAAGGAAGGAAGGGAGGGAGGGAGGGAGGGAGGGAGGGAGGGAGGGAAGGAAATGGCTTAACAGGACAAGTTCTTTAAAACAATACAAAAGTACCAAGTGCAAATATGTAAAAGATTAACAGCACTTAACAGTACTGAAATGAACAGTGGAAACTATACCTTTAGAGGTTTTTGAAAAGACTCTTGGCCACAAAGTTACATTTGGACTCTATTTTCCAACTTGGAGAGGTCATTATTCCCAAATGTTGCGGTTCTTTCTAATGAAAAGCAAATACCACAGAAGAGCATGTTCTGCTTTGGATTTTTTTTTTCACCTTATTTCACATGAGTAAAAAAATGAATAGCTGCCCTCATTTCTGAAAACAAAAAACTATAAGCAATCACTGTTGCTCCCAATGGAACTGTTGGAGTTGAGCCTCGAAGGCTTTGGGGTCAATGGACTAGACTTTAGAAGCCCAGGACCCTGCCAAGGCCTAGTCTGCATACTTGGGTCCGGGTGAGCTGTTGAGCCGTCGCATTTCTCTGCTGCTTCTTTACATGGGAACCAACACAAGAACAACACAGTCCCTAAATTGGCTGCTGCAGGATCCTACAAATAAGTGAAAACGTGGGATGACACAGCCAAGGAGTGCTTGCCTACCCAGCCCCCTTCTTCTGAGCCATAATCCCAAGGGGTGAGTATGATCCAGCAGGACTTGAAAAGAAGCCCAGCCTCTGAGCAGCCACTCATTCCTGGTAAAGCCCCTTGAAGTCTGTGGCCTTCATGGCCAGCTGACAGTCGCCGCTGGGGTTTTGCTGTGTCAGTGGTCTGTTGAATAATAAGAGGAAATGGTTAGCTCTAGGGCCTCAGTAGAGAGCAATGTGGGAAGTGTGCATAGCTGAATACATGATGTTTTTTTTGCTCATTTATTTTTAGCTGTGTCTTGCAACCACACCAGTCCTATGCTCATTATATAGATGAAGAAACTGAGGGCACAGGAGGTTAAAATGACCAGGTTAGGAGTAGGGTTACTGCTCCTTTCCCATCTTCTAATTTGGATATGTATTATGTTTTTCTCAATTATCTGTGTCCTCACAACAATCCATTGAGAATGGTAGATTAAGAGTAGATATTTTGTCTATTTTACCAATGGATAAAAGCTGAGACCAGAGAAGTCAAGCAGCCTGTTCAAGACCACAAAGCTAAAAAACATGGCAGGGTGGGCATTCGGACCATATCTTCTGATTCCAATTAGTGTCTTGACATCTTCCATGGAAAGGAGTTGGGGTGGAGGACAAGTGAATTAGTCCATTCTCATGCTGTCAATAAAGACCCGATACCGGGTAATTTATAAAGGACAAGAGGTTTCATGGACTCATAGTTCCACATGACTGGGGAGGCCTCACAATCATGGTGGAAGGGGAAGGAAGATGAGAGGCACTTCTTACATGGCAGCAGGCAAGACAGCATGTGCAGGGCAACTGTCCTTTATAAAACTGTCATATCTTGTGAGACTTATTCACTATCATGAGAACAGGCATCATGGGAAAAACCCACTATGATCCAATTACCTTTCACTAAGTCCCTCCCATGACACATGAGAATTATGGGAGCTACAACAAGATGAGATTTGGGTGGGGACACAGCCAAACCATATCAGGGGAAAGGAAGATAAACTAGTTTGTCTTCTTCAGTTCTTTTTACTGTCAGAAGACTTTGAGAGAAGAATTCGTGCTATTGCTATTAACTCAGTTGGATCCATGGTTGATCTTTGAATTTCAAAAAGTCTTACCATCATTGACACCCCACTGTGGAAAACCACAGCACACACCAGAGTTTGGCTGACCAGGAGACATTTCCCAAACCCGTCTCTTATAGTTTTATGCTACAGAAGATGACACAGCTGAATACTCCCAGCTTGGAGTGGGAATATGCTTTGTATGTTTGTCCCCTCCAAATCTCATGTTGAAATGTGATCCCCAGTGTTGGAGATGGTGCCTATTGGGTCATGAGGGTGGATCCCTCTTGAATAGCTTGCTGTCATCCTTGTGAAATGACTGAGTTCTTGCCCTGAGTTCATGCAAGATCTGGTCTTTAAAAGAGTGTGGAACTTCCTTCCTCTCTCTCTTGCTCCTGCTCTCGCCATGTGACAATGGCTCCCCTTCACCTTCCACCGTGATAGGAAGCTTCCTGGGGCCCTCACCAGAAACAATGCCAGCACCATGTTTCCTGTATGGCCTGTAGAACCATGAGCCAAAATAAACCTCTTTTCCTTGTAAATTACCTAATCTCAGGTATTTCTTTAGAGCAATGCAAAAAACAGACTAACACAAGCAGCCATCTGAGAAAGTCCTAGCCAATGAAGTCTGTTGGGGTATAGTGGTGAGAAGTCCTGGGAAATATTCATATCATAAAAAAGGTCAAACTCAATTTTTTTCTCCTTTTATCCTACCTTGAAGGTAGCTGGTGCCCCTGGAGCTGTAGCAGGTATCTTTTGGCCATTAGGTAGGAAACCAATGGGCTAAGGATGGCAATACAGTAAGGCAAAAGGTGCTGGATATGTGGCTACCACACAGCGGCTGCACCAGCCTTGGGTGGTCTCCAGCTTTTCATTAAGCACTAAAAATAAGCTCTCTGTGTGTTTAAGCTGGTATCTACTTTGGATTTTTCATTACTTGCCACCTAAAGCACTCCTCCCTGATAACAAAAAACTAAGGAAGAAGTCTTTCCTTTTCTTAGAAAAGATGTAAGAAAGCTAGTTATGCTTAGGCTGGTTTAGAAGACTATGATGTGGGGTAGTGAGTTTGGTGGCTCTACAGATAAACACAGTGGCCCAGGGCCCGATTTCTCCCAAGCTGCAGGCCCTGGGAGGTCTTGCTGTCTCCATAACAAAGCAGTGTGGTTTTGCCCCTCAGAGCCTAATTGATCTACATCGCAGGCAGGTTGGTATCTTTGATCTAAATATTGTTTAGCTGATTTTCATAAGTAAGGGAAATTTAGTTTTGTTTCCTTTTTAAAAAAATTTAAGTTGTATTATCTTTTGTGTTTTAGGGCCAAAATTCCATCAAATCATGAAATAAATTGTATAGCTCCTCTTCCCCCACACTGCATGCTTTTAATCATTTAATGAAGGAGTTATCTTTTTTTGAGTTATAAAGAATTCACTAATGCAGGCTGGGTGCAGTAGCTCATGCCTGTAATCCCAGCACCTTGTGAGGCTGAGGCAGGTGGATCACTTGAGGTCAGGAGTTCGAGACCAGCCTGGCCAACATGGTGAAACCCCATCTCTACTAAAAATACAAAAATTAGCCAGGTGGGGTGGTGTACACCTATAATCCCAGCTACTCAGGAGGCTGAAGCATGATAATTGCTTGAACCCAGGAGGCAGAGGTTGCAGCGAGCCAAGATCAAGCCACTGCACTCCAGGCTGGGTGACAGAGCGAGACTCCATCTCAAAAAAAGAAAAAAAAAAAAAAAAGAAATTTGCTAATCCAGGGGTTCTCAGATGAAAACTATATTTACAATAACATGACCTATTATATGCCTTTTCACTCTCATTCTCTCACAAGGGAACAGTGCAATTTTTCAAAGTATATTTGGAAGATTTGCATGATTCAATGAACCAACATTCTCCCAACGACCAACATGTGAAGTTACAAAATCATGCATGGTAAAGATCAATTTAAAGTGTGAGATAGACCTGCAGATTGCAATAGAATAGAGTATAAAAATTTCACATGTCCGCTAACCTTTAAGAAATTACCACTTATGGAGTTCTGGTGTACTGTCATAGAATATCCACAATCGTTTGAAAAAGCTTTGCCTCCCTCTCCCAACTACGCTTCAGCGAGCCTGAGTCTTCTTCAAATACTTCAACCAGAATAACACAGCACAATAGAAGGGATGCAGGCATATAAGCGAGAAGCCAGCTGACAATTGTTAAGGCAGATATGCAAGAGAATTGTAAAATGTAAAACAACGCCATTCATTCACAAATTTTATTTCATTTTGGAAAATATAGTTACTTTTCATTAACACACGTTATTTATATTAACAGGTAATATTGTTCCTTTAAAATGAATAGATATTTTAAAAATTTATGTTATGATTTCTAATTGAATACGCAAGCAACATTGAGGAAGAAAGAACATTGATTTCTAATTGAATACACAAGCAACATTGAGCAAGCAAGAACAAGCAACATTGAGGAAGAAAATTTTTTTAAAAAGAAGTAATTATTAATACTTTTTTTCAGACAGAGTCTAGCTCTGTTGCCCAGGCTGGAGTACAGTGGTGCAATCATAGCTCACTGTAGCCCCAGCCTCCCAGGTTGAGGCCATCCTCTCTCCTCAGCCTCTTGAGTAGCTGAGACCGCAGTCATGCATCACAGTGCCCAGCCAATATTTAATTTATGTTATGTTTATTTTAATTCATTTTACTGTATATAGATTATGTCATGTTATTTATTTTAATTTATTTTTTACTTCATTTCATTTATTTTTTTGAGACAGGGTCTTGCTCTGTTGCCCAGGCTGGAGTGCAGTGGTGTGATCACAGCCCAATGCAGCCTTGAATTCCTGGGTCCAAATGATCCTCCCATCTCAGCCTCCTGAGTAGCTGGGACTACAGGCATACACCACCACACCTGGCTAATTTTTGTATTTTTTGTAGAGATGTGGTCTTGCCATGTTGCCTAGGTTGGTCTTAAACTCTTGGCCTCAAGCTATCTTCCCTCCCTGGCCTCCCAAAGTGCTATTAATACAATGAACCACATAAAGAAAAACTCCTTGGATGCCTCAATAATTTTTAAGAAGGTAAAATGGGACCTGAGAATAAAAGGCTTAAGAACTTCTGCCCAAGTGGAAACAATTGGTTGGCAGCAATAGGGAAGGATAAGGAGAAGTACACATCCTGGATTTCCTTTTCAATTTCTTCATTAATAAGTAGGGAATCAGATTTTGCTTCTTCCTTTGGTATAATTTTTAAGAACTTACCCTATTACAGCAGGGTTCAGAGATAGGGAGACATTTTATTTCCGAAGCATCACCCTCAATATGCAAAATAGGCCAATATTTCTCCTTTTATGTTTTTAAGACTGGGAGTGAGTCGGATGCCTCACGCCTATAATCCTAGTCCATTCAGAGGCCAAGGTGGGAGGACTGCTTGAAGCCAGGAGTTTGAGAAAGCCTGGGCAACATAGCAAGACCCTACTTTATAAACAAAATACAAATGAACAAACAAAAGACTAAGAGGGATCAAAGCCATTTATGAAAAGGTGCCTATGATTCCAGATATATCAATTAAGCAATCCTGTGAAAGCCATCCTAGAGTGATTTTATATTATATCCACTTCACTCCAGCCTGGGAGTGAAGTGGATGTAATATTTTTCAACATATGAATAATGACAGGATAACCTTTTATTTTTCAACATACAAATAATAACAGGATAACATTTTGGTAAGGAGTTCAAGGGCTGTTTTATAGAAAAACAAAACTTGGGATATAGGTTCTTATAGAGCAACAATTGGCAAACCATGGGCCTTGGGTAAAATCCAGCAAGCTGCCTGTCTTTGTAAATAAAGTTTTATTGGAACACAGCCATGCCCATTCATTTACTTCCTGGTCTGTGCTGCCATCATGCTACAGCCGTAGAGTTAAATAACTGCAGTTGAGACTACATTGCTTGCAAAGCCTCAAATACTATCTGGCCCTTTTCCAGAAACTGTTTGGTAACTCCTGTTTTAGAGAGTCACTTTGTATCTTGATTAAGAGGGCTTTAGAATTAACTGACCTGGATTTAAGTCCCTTCCATGCTACTCTCAGTTTAAGGGACTTGGCTTAATTTTTCTTACAATAGAAAGGGACTAAATTGTAAGGATTACATGAGATAAGGCCTGGAAAGTATTTTAAGAGAGTTCCTGGCACAGAACAAGTGCGCAGTAGCCACTATCATCAACTTAGCAGGAGCTTAAATGAAGTATGATGAGCTTGGGACTTAGATTCTAAAATCAACACATAGGACAAAAATAAAGCATTAAAAAAAAATCTCCTTTGAAAATCCATTAGGCAGTGGTACATTATAGACAAACACAGTGTCTCCCAGTAATGACAGCATAGCTGGGTTTTCCCTCCAGCATTTAAGTAGATCACTGTTGCTTCACTTGAAGCCCCAGATGAAGTAGCTGGTATTGAAGAGCCATATTATAGAAACAAAAATCTATGTATTCAAACACGAGGCTTACACTCGGTTGGTGAGAAACTCACACTGTCAAGAGCAGAGGGGATCAAGACAAACTCTGGGCACATAAGATTCATAGCTCCCATACTGTACTGCTTTGGGAGACAGGCATGCCTGGTGGGTCATTTTTCTTCTGTTCCTGTTCCTCTCCACCCCACCCTGCCAAAGAAAACCACCGAATTCGCCATTTGTAAATTAAATGGACATCTTTTTTTTTTAATTTTTTTAAGACGGAGTCTCATTTACCCAGCCTGCAGTGCAGTGGTGCAATCTCAGCTCACTGCAACCTCTGCCTCCCAGGTTCGAGCGATTCCCCTGCTTCAGCCTCCTGAGTAGCTGGGATTATAAGCACACGCCATCACACCTGGCTAATTTTTTGTATTTTTAGAGACAGGGTTTCACCATGTTGGCCAGGCTGGTCTTGAACTCCTAACCTCAGGTGATCCAACTGCTTCAGCCTCCCTAAGTGCTGAGATTACAGGCATGAGCCAGCAGGCTCGGCCTAAATGGGTGTCTTTTAAAAGGAATCAATAATACTGATAGAGTTGCTATGACAATGAAATGCTTGTATCTGATGGAAGATGATAGCAATTGCTTTGTTTGCAATTCCATGGTAAATGCCCATCTGATGCCTGGTATACATGGGGAACTACGAGCAACACGTGGGTCTTACAATTTTCCTTCTGGATATCAACGAGGATTATGGTTTTATTTGTGAAAATCCCCTCAAGTGGCAAAGATTGAATTATTCAATAAGGTGTGTTGACTCATGCCTGTAGTCCCAGCACTTTGGGAGGCAGAGGCAGGAGAACTGCTTGAACCCAGGAGTTAGCCTGGCAACATAGTGAGACACCATCTCTATAAAAAAAATAAATAAATGGCTGGGCGTGATGGCATGCACCTGTAGTACCAGGTTCTTGGGTAGCTAAGGCAGAACTGCTTGAGTCTGGGAGGTTGAGGCTGTAGTGAGCTATGTTCTTGCCACCGCACTCCAGCCTGAGAGACAGAGACCCTTTCTCAAAAAAAAAAAAAAAAAATTAAAAGATTAAAAAAATACATTATTCCATGGACATGTATTTACCTGGGAGTAAACCGGCAGTTGATGAGGCTGGAGGCTATTATATAGGATGCCATCATCATCCCCGACATGGCGAGTGATACGAAGCCCAAGCCACAGAGAATGCAGAGCAGTGAGAGACCACCCACAGAGATGACCAGTCCTAGGAGGAGAACGTGGTTAGAAGTGTTCCTCTCAAACATGTTGAAAACTGGCAGACCCTGGGTCAGTGTGTTTAAAATAATGACAGCTAACTCGGAATTTGATGGTAAGGAGATATCCCATAAAAACCCAGATTTCTGGCATCATGTTAAAAAAGGTAATATGGGCACCTGAGTGGGCACCAAACCATGACAACAACTGGCTGGCCCTCCCATTGCCCCTAGTCTCTACAATTCCCAAATTGCATCACACGTGGGCCATTTTGCACATTTTTTCTTTTTTTTTTTTTTTTTTTTTTGAGATGGAGTCTTGCTCTGCCTCCCAGGCTGGAGTGCAGTGGGGCAATCTCAGCTCACTGCAACCTCCACCTCCCAGATTCAAACGATTCCCGGCCTCAGCCTTCCAAGGCGCTCGGATTACAGGCATCTGCCACCATGCCAGGCTAATTTTTGTATTTTTAGAGGAGATGGAGTTTCACTATGTTGGCCAGGCTGGTTTAGAACTCCTGACCTTGAGTGATCCACCCACCTTGGCCTCCCAAAGTGCTGGGATTATAGGCGTGAGCCACTGCAACCCACCTGCTCATTTTGTCTTGGCCCTAGGTGTTAGAGTTTGAGATCCCCTTATCCTCAGGGTCAGAGATGGACTTCCAAAAGGATCCCCCATGAGGAGTCAGCCAAGGCAGTACTAAGGGAGGTAAACTATCTCTAGTGTCTCAAACTGCATAATAAATGCCATTATTTACACTTACCTATAAGCTTTATACCTATGACAGGTATAAAGGTCATGCAGGCTAAAGTAAAACCTAAATGCAGCTTTTGATGGCATCCTTCAAAATCCAGCCTGACAACTATCACATTTTATTTTTATTTTATTATTTTTTATGTATTATTATTATTTGAAATGGAGTCTTGCTCTGTCACCCAGGCTGGAGTGCAGTGGCATGATCTTGGCTCACTGCAACCTCCACCTCCCAGGTTCTAGTGATTCTCCTGCCTCAGCTTCCTGAGTAGCCGGGATTACAGAATTGTCACATTTTAATTCTGAGGTCTGATTGGGCATTTTTATGTACCATTTTCTATGCCATTTTTCTATGCCATTCCCATTTTTAAAGGGAATATTAATGAATTACCTTCTAATACATGCAAGGAAAATACATTTTTCATAATGCGGGTCCTGTGGGGGTGGGGGGAAGAATAAATGGTACAAGAAAAAGAGCATGAAGAACAAATAACACCGCAAGTGTTGTATGGCTGATATCCTTCCCTTGGCTTTGCAAGTGGCCAGTTAGCCCAGCATGCCTCCCACAGACACAGTGATGGTTTCAGGGATGGACCCTGAAAAGGCTGGAAGGAAGAGATCATCCACAGATGTGCTGCCTTTTCATAAAGATTTCCAAAATTTTAGATCAGTGTTTTTCAAAGTGTGGCCGCCAAGCAGCTGCATTAGAATCAGGTGCATCAGGGAAACTTATGTTTGAGACCAGCCTGGGCAACAAGACCCCGTCCCTTAAAAAAAAGTTTTTAAATGACAGATGCCCCAAAAGTATTGTTCTCCCAATTGAGTTACTTTCCAAGGGTGAATGACAGAACAGGCTACCTTCCAGTATTATGACCCCCACCAGAGCAACCAGGGTGGTAAGGATCACGAGGAGCAGGAAGAACCCAACAGGAACGGCCGATGTGACAATGAACACCAGCAAGGCGAGGGCCAGAAACGGATGCCTGTCCAAGTACTGACCCACTGGAGACTTCGTAAAGGCTATCACCTGTGGGCAAAGGATGAAGAGCCAGGGTTAAGTAGCACGTCTGAATCCCAGGTTGAATGGATATGCCCAAGTTTTGGGAATTACAATCAGAGATCCTAAAGCTGGAACACTCATGCATTAAGAAGTCACTACAACAAGACTTCTCCCAAGACATGAGTCACCCAGGCAGTAATCTCAGGCAGTTGTGGGCAGGTGAAAAGTCCCCACCCAAGGTCAAGTCTTGTGAATGGAGGAAAGACTCAGTGACGTCTCTCCTGCTAAACACAGTCTTCAGAAGACCGCTTCAGTATACAGGTGCACTGATGTAATGTACATACCATCTGCCTCCTACTTTACAGCTGAGGTTCTCATAGTTGAAGCCACTCAGACACACACAGGTTTAAGTCCTAGCTACTCGGATTACCTAGGAGCTCATTAGAAACATAGAATCTGGCTGGGTGTGGTGGCTCACAACTGTAATTCCAGTGCTTTGGGAAGTCGAGGCAGGAAGATTGCTTGAGGCCAGGAGTTCCAGATCATGATTAAAGGAATGATTTAAGAAATATGAACCTGTGTGCAAGAGGCAGGGAGAAAGAGGTGTAGGAGATCAGGCAAGATATACTGATGGGCAAGTCCTGGCTGATGGCAGAGAGGGAAGAGGACAGGGAAATGGGTATAAGAGTGGAATGACAAAAGAAAGAATACACAGGGCTTAGGGACAGTTTGGAACAGGGATATAAAGAGAAATAGGCAAGTCTGTTTTACTTCAGTCCTTAAGGAATCCACTTTTTTCTTAGCCTTTTTCTTTTTTTTTTGAGATGGAATCTGGCTCTGTTGCCCAGGCTGGAGTGCAATGACATGATCTAAGCTCACTGCAACCTCCACTTCCCAGGTTCAAGCAGTTTCCAGCTAATTTTTATATTTTTTTAGTAGACACGAGGTTTCACCATGTTGGCCAGGCTGGTCTTAAACTCCTGACCTCAAGTGATCTACCCGCCTCGGCCTCCCGAAGTGCTAGGATTACGGGCATGAGCCACTGCACCCGGCCATTCTTAGCCTTTTCTGAGTCTGGGTTCTACAATCAAACAAATAGAAAGCCATTGACATATGCAAAAAGACCAAGATTCAGACGATTAAACCCAGCAATTGTCTTCTCCCAGAAAGTACAGCTGAGCTCCAGCCAATCTGTTCCAGGAGGGAGGACGGGGTTCAGCCACACCTAGTAATAACAGAGAACATTCATTAAACACTCAGGTGCCAGGCACTGCTTAAGCACCTCCTGTGTTATTCCCTCATTTATTTCTTCCTACAATGCTACGAGGTAAGTAAAAAAGAACGACCTAACACTATTTAAACCTAGCGGGGTAGAACATAGCAATTAACGTTTCAATCTCATGGCAACAGAGGGGGATGCAATGGAAAGATGGAAAGTGGGAGAGGTTATGATTCAGTAACCTGCACTGTGATTTTCCATCACCAGCCTGGAGACAGGCACAGGTTATTCAATCTAGACTTCACAGGCACAGTGCAGCGCTGCAGGGCCCAGGAAGGCCAGGCTGAGACAGACTGAGGACATTATGTGCCGGACTCTCTGCTAAACCCTCAAAGAGCATCTCAGATAATCCTCATAACTAACCTCTGAGCCTGGCATTGCTCATTTTAGAAAAGAGGAGATGGCCTCTGGGCATGGTGGCTCATGTCTGTAATCCCAGCACTTTGGGAGGCCAAGACAGGAAGACTGCTTGAGGCCAAGAGTTTGAGATCAGCCTGAGCAACACAGTGAGACCCCTGTCTCCCCCAAAAATAAAATATTAGCTGAGCATGCTGGTGTGCACCTGTAGTCCCAGCTACTCAGGAGGCTGAGGCTGGAGGGTTGCTTGAGCCCAGGAGTTTGAGGCTGCAGTGAGCCATGATCACACCACTATAAGCCTGGAAGACAGAAGGAGACTCTGTCTCAATAAAAATAAATAATTTTTAAAAAGGAGATGGAAATTCAGTGAGCCTAAGTGACTTGCCCGAGGTCAGACACAAGCAGTTGGGTTGTAGAGTAGGGAAAATATGGCCAGTATTTGAGGACATGAAGGCTCCACCTGGGATGATTCAGGAGCTAGGCAAATTCCCTGGTGTCAGAATGCAAAAACCAATCAGCGATTCATTATCTCTCACTACCAGAAGGGCGAAGGGTGAGGACCATTAAAAACCACTAGTGGCCAGGCACGGTGACTCAAGCCTATAATGCCAGCATTTTGGGAGGCCGAGGTGGGTGGATTACCAGGTCAGGAGTAGGAGACCAGCCTGGGCAATATGGTCAAACCCCGTTTCTACTAAAAATATTTTTAAAATTAGCTGGGCGTAGTGGCAGACACCTGCAATCCCAGCTACTTGGGAGGCTGAGGCAGGAGAATTGCTTGAACCTGAGAGGCAGAGGTCGTAGTGAGCCAAGATAGTGCCACTGCACTCCAGCCTGGGCAACAGAGCGAGACTCCGTTTCAAAAATAATAAAGAAATAAAACCACTGGTGATGACAGGTCATAGGTGCTCTGTGATGGTCTGTCTATGCCCCTGGGTTCCCACTGGCATGTGATTCAGGGATTAGCACACAGGTGCCCAGGGAGGTTGTTTGAAAACACCCTTTGTGGCAGGAAGCCTCCAGCATGGAGCAGCTGTTTTGTCATGGATCATCCACATAAAGAGAAGCCATCAGAGATAATCTGCTCAGGCCACCCACCATATCTCCTCTTTCCTGGAGGTGACCCCTTCCCACGGCAGGGGTGGGCCCCCAAAGCCATGTTTACAGCAATGAAAGAAATACCCCAGCCCAGCTGCCACCTCCTTGACCATAGGTGACTGGGGCAACCAGATTCTTGCTCCTAGGAATCAGGCACTTAGACACCCAGGCCAGTCTCCCTGGAGGGCTTCAATTGGGAGAGGTACAGAATTAACATTAATTAACATGGCCTGGCCAGCCACGTTTGCCTACATGAATGGAAAAGCCAAGGAAGCCAGGCTGCAGGGAGAGGAGAGTAAAGAAGATACACAAGAAAATGCTAAAAAGAGCCGGGTAAGGTGGCTCACGCATGTAAACCCAGCACTTTGGGAGGCTGAGGTGGGTGGATTATGGGGTCAGGAGTTCGAGACCATCCTGGTCAACATGGTGAAACCCTGTCTCTACTAAAAAAATACAAAAATTATCCAGGTGTGGTGGCTCGCACCTGTAATCCCAGCTGCTCGGGAGGCTGAGGCAGGAGAATCATTTGAGCCTGGAAGGCAGAGGTTGCAATAAGCTGAGATCGTGCCATTGCACTCCAGCCTGGGCAATAGAGACTCCATCTCAAAACAAAACAAAAAACAGGCTAAGAAGAGAAGCTGCATGGGCCAAGAGAGGGCACTGGGAGTTACCTCTGACCCCAGTGAACTGCCAGACCCTGGTTCTAATTCCCTCTGAGGCTCCACCTGGCTTCACTTCCTGCCCTGGGTTTCTCAGATTGCCTTACATTCCCCAAAAGTCTCAGCGGGTCCTGCCGATCGATTTGCTTTTTGATGAAACTCTTTTGAGCAGATTTGTGTTTCTCAGTCTAAAAGACAAATGCAATGATCATGCATTCCAGAGGCTTCCAGAAAGAGAGGCTGGAGCTGTTTCACACACTCCATCTGAAAAAGCCCATAGTATTCTTATCTGGAGTTCAAAGGGGTTACTAATACCAGGAGAAAGGGTAAAAATTAGCTGTGGGAAAAGAAATCTTCTAAACTTACCAGAGACAAGGGGATGAGTATGTAAATTATGGTATGTGGATCTGATGAATTTGCTGATATATTATTAGTCAGTCATTGTTCTGAAGACCTATGTTTCAATATGGAAACACAGGAGGGTACAATATAAAATAAACATACAAATAAATTGGAAAGCTGAGGCAGGCAGATCACTTGAGGTCAGGAGTTCGAGACTAGCCTGGCCAACATGGTGAAACCCTGTTTCTACTAAAAATACAAAAATTAGCCAGGAGTGGTGGTGCATGCCTGTAATCCCAGCTACTCAGGGGGCCAAGGCAGGAGAATCCCTTGAACCCGGGAGGCTGAGATGAGGTTGCAGTGAGCCAAGATCATGCCATTGCACTCCAGTCTGGGCGACAGAGCAAGACTGTTTGTTTTTCTTTTGAAAAACAAACAAAACATAAAAATACAGAACTACGTCTGCTGTGATTATAATCACTATTATGTAAAAATTATATACCGAGAAGGCACCATCATAATAATAATAGCCACCACTGGATTTGTCAGTGATGGTTTTGTTGGTTTGTTTTTGTTGAGACAGAGTCTCACTCTGTCACCCAGGCTGGAGTGCAGTAGCATGATCTTAGCTCACTGCAACCTCTGCCTCCTGGGTTCAAGAAATTTTCCTGCCTCAGCCTCCCAAGTAGCTGGGACTACAGGCATGTGCCACAACACCCGGCTAACTTTTTTTTTTTTTTAGTAGAGACAGGGTTTCACCGTGTTAGCCAGGATGATCTCAATCTCCTAACCTCATGATCCACCCGCCTCTGCCTCCCAAAGTGCTGGGAGTACAAATGTGAGCCACCATGCCCGGCCCTTGGTGATGGTTTTATAGGTGATTTGCTCTTCTTCCTCCAGCGTCACTCTACTGAGTCATTAATACAATTAATATTAACACAATAAAAAATTCTGAAAAGAACTACTCTATCTCAGTACTATCTGAAAAATATCAGGATTTAGACAACTGATGATTTTTCCTGTTGTTCTGGGGGTTGGCTGGCCTGGTAGTTAGTCTAGCTCAAACCTATTCCAATGGACATGGCTAAGGATCTGACGTGAAGGGTGGAGAAACGTCAAAAGCCAAGTTCATCTGCTGTGTAAATGCCTGCTTCAGAGGGTGGACATGTCTACTAACTTCAGGCGGGGCAAATACCTAGTGCAGTGCTTGGCATATAGTCAGTGCCAGGAAATATGCAGTCAATCCTCATCACTCATGATTCCATATTTGTAAATTTGCCTCCTCACTAAAATTGATTTGTAACCTTAAAATGAATACTGGCAGTGCTTTTTCTTTTCCTTTTTCTCCTTTTTTTTGAAACAGTCTCGCTGTTGCCCAGGCTGGAGTACAGTGGTGTGATCTTGGCTCCCTGCAACCTTTATCTCTGGAATTCAAGCGATTCTTGCACCTCAGCCTCCCAAGAGGCTAGGCTTACAGGCACACATCACCCACCGGCTAATTTTCAGTAGAGAAGGGGTTTTGTCATGTTCACCAGGCTGGTCTTAAACTGCTGGCTCAACCACTCGCCTCAGCCTCCCAAAGTTCTGGGATTACAGGTGTGAGCCAATTGGTGACCATTTTCAATAGTAAAATCACCAGCCTATAGCACAAATGTGGCACTAAATAGGTCACAATAAGGACACTTGTTTAAAGAGCGAAACAGGAAGGCTCAGTGTCACCTTGCTTGACCTCAGCTAGGAATGTGCGTGGCAGGTGACTTCATTTTTTGCTGTTGTGGGCATGTCTACTAATGACCTCAAAACACCATAGGCCGGGTGCGATGGATCACCTGAGGTCAGGAGTTCAAGATCAGCCTGACCAACATGGAGAAACCCCGTCTCTACTAAAAATACAAAAATTAGCCGGGCGTGGAGGTGCATGCCTGTAATTTCAGCTACTTGGGAGGCTGAGGCAGGACAATTGCTTGAACCCAGGAGGCAGAAATTGCAGTGAGCCAAGATCGTGCCATTGCACTCCAGCCTGGGCAACAAAAGCGAAACCCCGCCTCAGAAGAATAAAAAAGAAACAAATGGTCACCAAGTATAGTGCTGAAGTGTTCTCTAGCATTTCTAAGCACGAGAAGGCTGTGATGTGCCTTATGAAGAAATTACAAATGTGCAATTAGCTTTAAGAGTCACAGTACCGTTGTGGCCCTGAGTCCAATGTTAATGATTAACAATATATGTTAATGTGTCTTTAAACAGAAATACACATAAAACAAGGTTATGTACTGATCAGTTGACAAAAAATGTTGTGGACAGAGTCTCACAGCAACCAAATTCTGTATTTCCCCTAGGAGTGATGGTTTGGTATGTGCTAATCAGTGCCTGCCGTGACTTTATAGAACGTAACTACCACAGTTAATGAGAATCAGCTGTAAATGTGGAACAGGCAGGAGGACCCTTCTTACTGAGCTAACTTTTAATAACAAGAGTCTCCGCCAGCTGGCAAGAAAGCTGCTTGTCCAATTTAAAAATAGCTTGGTAAATCCACAAAAAGTGCCAGATAAATTCTGGAACAAGTCCAGAATTTATTGTTGTAGACTGCAAAGAAATATCTCTTCAAGTAGATCCTAGTGGAGCTGTGCTATCCAATACAAAAAACAAAAATACATCACAAAACAGTTCATTTTGTCACATATACGTATGTGTAATTATAGGTCTACTGCAGAGAAAAAAGGTGTAGAATGACATACAAAATGTTAACAGGATTAGCTCTGAAAGCTTTTCTTTTCCCTGACAAAACGCTGAAAGGCATGTAGAAGAAAGCCATAGGGGTAAATATGCAAGAAAACAATATACTGTCAGAAGTCCCATTGCCACTGAGTGGCTACTGAATACCTAGAAATAGCTAACTCAAACTGAAATGTGCCAGGAGTGTAAAATACGCACTGGATTTCAAAGACGGAGTACGAAAAAGAAGGTAAAATATCTCAAGAACACTTTTTAATTAATAATTTTGTATAAATGATTACATGTTGAAATAATATTTTGGATATATTTCGAGATAGAGTCTCACTAGCTCTGTCACCCAGGCTGGACACAATCATGGCTCACTGCAACCCTCACATCCCGGGTTCAGGTGATTCTCCCACCTCAGCCTCTCGAGTTGCTGGGACTACAGGTGCTCACCACCATGCCTGCTAATTTTTGTATTTTTAGTAGAGACGGGGTTTTACTGTATTGGCCAGGCTGGTCTCGAACTCCTGACCTCAAGTGATCTGCCTGCCTAGGCCTCCAAAACCGTTGGGCTCACAGGTGTGAGCCACCGTGTCTGGCCAAAAGTAATTTTACCTTTCCCGTTTTACTTCTTAAATGTGGCGACTAGAAAATTTTAAATTACATATGTGGCTCACATCATATTTCTATTGGACCTGGATTCCTGGTGGAACACAGAAGTCATATCTTAAAGTAGGCTTTCCTCTCTCATTGTTAGGGTAACAGGGCAAAAATCACCACAAACCACAAAAAAGGATGGTATCTGTGGCACAGACTTCTTATCCAGCTAACCAACTGCATTTGTCATTAGTAGCAAATGACTCACTTTTGGCTTATGAGATGTAATTGGAAGTATTGTGTGTGACTCCCAGGAAGTCCCCTTAAATTGGAGGTCGCTTGCACATCACTTTTCCCCCTCTCCTCAAATCCTGTTGCCTGCAACATGGATACAATGGCTGATGCTCTGGCAGTCATCACAGACAATGAGTTTGAAGGTCACAGCATAGACGTGGCAGGGTGGTAAGCTAGAAAGATTCCTGACTTACCTCCAAATTTCTTCTACTGGAGAAAGAAATAACTTTCTTTCTTGTTTACGCTAGTGTTAAATAGGGATTTTCTATTCTATGTAGTGATCGGAAACTGACCTTTGGGTTATTCTGGAAGAACTCTATCAGCAAAGTCAGCTTCCTCTGCAGCTCCTGCAAGTCCCTTGAGATACTCCGGGGCTCCTCTTTTGCCATCCTGAAGCTCACTTCAATCTCTTTGGGGATTGTTTTTCCTACCAGTAAATGACCCAGTGCAGCGCTGGTCCAATCTCTCAGGTTGCCCTGTCTCTTGCTGTTACCAGAGGAAACAAAAGTTGTTAGTGGCCTTCATCAAACTGGTTCAATAAGAGCTTCTACTATCCTCATGCCTTGATGGTGGGCGTGCAGATTGAGGGTAACCTGGCAATATTCACAACAATTTCATATTGCACACACTTCAATCCAGGAATTTATCTTTCGGGAACATGATGGAAATAATCAAACAGGTATGTCAAAATGTACCAAAAGGCTGTGCATCTCGTCCCTGTTTATAACCTATAATGACTAGCAAAACATTGGAAAGCTACCTGTATTTCCATTAGGAGAAAATGGATGAACTAATGAAAAATTCAGTCATTAAAATGATGGTGTGACTTTTTAGTGATGTGAAAAGATGTTTATGATACTTTTTTTAAAAAAATGACAAAATGTTAACTATTATCTCTGAGAGCTTATGTTTATTTTTTAGCTTGACAAAATGCTGAAAATATACAGAAAGAAAGCCGAATATATGATTTCGAATCTCATTGCCTTTTATTTTCCCTAGAAAGTTTTCTTGTACAACAGCAGCCTGCTGTCTTCTTTATTACTGCACAGGTTGGCTCCCAATTCTATCCTTGCAGACATCATCAGTTTATTTACTTCTGGGTAAGTCTGTCCTTGCTAAGGAGAACTCCCAGCCAGACCTCACCACAATAATTATACTCTAACTAAATTGCCTGGAATTTCCAGAGCTGTCCCAATCTCACACAATTTTTACTTATTTTTAATAAAGGCCGTTGGTTAAATTAGATATATTTTTTAACCCTCATTTTCAAATATAAAAAAAAATTATTCTTATTTTATATTTCCCAGAACTGGCTGGATACGGAGATATCTTTTCCATTTCTCCCTATAAACTGACCTCCTGACCTACAGTACAAATGTTTAAAAGATTCTCTCCACATGGCCAAAATTAATTGAGAGATCTTCACATTTATCATCTTGAATATCCCACATACTAATTGCATTCATTACAGGGGTATTTTTTTTTTTTTTTTTTTTTGAGATGCAGTCTTGCTCTGTTGCCAGGCTGGAGTGCAGTGGCCCGATCTCAGCTCATTGCAACCTCAGCCTCCTGTGTTCAAGCGATTCTCCTCCCTCAGCCTCCTGAGTAGCTAGGACTGAAGGCACGGCCACGACGCCCAGCTAATTTTTGTATTTTAGTGGAGATGGGGTTTCACTATGTTGGCCAGGATGGTCTTGATCTCTTGACCTCATGATCTGCCCGCCTCGGCCTCCCAAAGTGCTGGGATTACAGGCGTGAGCCACCCCAGCCCAGGGGATAATTTTATCTACTACTAAGATGTATAGGGTCTAGTGTGCAAATTAAAACACATTTTAATCATCCCAGCTAGACATCCTCTGCTACTTCCCTTTTGTAAAACAAGAAACCCTTTGGAGGGAGAGGTTAAGGAGGGGACTAATCCCCCCACCTAACATTCTCTCTTTCAAGCAGCCGCATACATCTTGAACTTGGGATGTTCCCAGCACTCAGTTCCCCTACTCTCATTTCTGCAGCATCCAGAAACAAGCCCAATTCCCCTTACAGGCCCAACTCTCCTTTGGCCTGGGAGCCTCAAGTGCCACCCAGACAGGCCTGCGGAGTCCGACGGGGGATGAGTGGGGAGAATGCCATCGCCTTCAAATCCCCTACCTGGCCACCAGTTCCCAGACCCGCTGGTTACTCACTCCTTGGAGGAGCCTCCCCAGGCACTGAGCTGTCTCCCGAGAAGGGAAAGCGGGAACCCGGCGCGGCCAAGAGGTGCCCCGCCCTCTCCACGACTGGGGGACTAGGCCAGGCCAATACCAGCCAACCCTCTCCCCTTCCAAGTCTCCAAATAAATCTCTCGGCTCTCCCACCCTCGCACCTCCAGGGGCAAACGGCTATCTCGAACATTCTAACTGGGAGGAGGGGATCACATCTCCGGTTGGGGGATGGGAGCTGCAGCGTGACTCAAGCTTACCTGGCCGCCCCCTGGCCATCTGAACCTAGCTTTTCAGCCTTCAAAAGCCAGGGAGAGGAGGAAGAAAGTGAAATGCAGGTGGAGAGGGGGTCCGCTCCCCAGAAGGCACAGAGGCTGAGTAATGGGAACTCAGGGGGGAGTAGAGTACTTTGTTATTAACTTGGGGGAGAAGCCTCCTTCGATACTTGCAGATCTCCTCTCTACAGTGACCGGGAAGAAGACCTCGGTGGAGAAGAGGGGCTGGGTGGTGAGGAGGGCGTCCGTTTTCAATAACCCTAGGGAGGTTTGCCTCGACGTCTTCCCTGCCAGGTTTCCCAGGAAGGGGCACAGTCTCGGGGTGTGGTGGTGCTAGCTACCAGTTAATCTCATCTAGTGGTAGTCTGTGTGTATATTTAGGGGTGGGAAGGAGTCGTGTCTCCTCGTGCGCTCCCAGCCCGGTCCCAGTGACTCACAGGCAGGAGACGGCCCTTACACTAACCCCGGGACAGAGGGTTCGGGCGTGGGACCCCGATCGCGCGCTCACGCCGTCGCTCCCGCGCTCCTCCGCTGTCCTGGCCCGGCGAGGGGGGTCTAGCCAGCCGGGGTCCCCGGACCCCTACTCCCAAGCTCCCAGCTCTCACCTGCTCCTGGCGGCCAAGCAGCCCCCACCGCGTTTGCAGGAGGAGCGAAGAAAGGCGGAGGAGCGAAGAGAGGCAGGAGGAGGAGCAAGAGGAGGAAGGAAAGAGCGTCCCGGGAAGGAAGCCACAGCCGCCTGCCTCCGCCGCCCGGCCCGGGCACCGCCCCTCGGCTCTGCCTCGCTGGGCTCGCCCCGCCCGCGGCCGGAAGGACCCGGTAAAGGCACGCCAAGGCCCCCGCGCCCAGGCCCGTGCAAAGCGCGCTCCACATACAAGCCCGGAGAGGTTGACAGATGAGGAAACTGTCCCTTCCCACACTCCAGGCTTGAGGAAAGCTCAGACTACCTTCAGGACAGGCCGGCTGGCCGCCGAGAGTGAGTTTTCGAAGGGTCTCAGGGTTTCCCCTCCTGTATAACCAAAACCAGCTGCTCTGGAACGTATCTGGAGCTCAAGACACACACGTGATGAAGCACCACCCTGGCTGGAAGTTTTCTTTTGTTTTTTGTTTTTGTTTTGAGTCGGAGGCTCGCTCTGTCACCCAGGCTGGAGTGCAGTAGCGCCATCTAGGCTCACTGCAACCTCCGCTTCCTGGATTCAAGCAATTCTCCTGCCTCAGACTCCCAAGTAGCTGGGATCACAGGCATGCCCCACCACGCCCAGCTAATTTTTTTGTATTTTTGGTAGAGACGGGGTTTCACCATATTGGCCAGGTTGGTCTCGTACTCCTGACCTTGTGATCCACCCGCATCAGACTCCCAAAGTGTTAGGATTACAAGCGTGAGCCACGGCTCCTGGCCCCTGGCTGGAAGTTTTTAACCATGACTCCTGAAATGCAAATGTCATAAGCCAGTGAGATCCTTCCAGATGGTTTAGATTAGTATCTCCATTTTACAGATGAAAAAAATCCAGGCTGCGAGAGACAAGATAAATCCACCTAAATTCCTCAGTTTGTAAGGATCCAAGTTGGAGCAGGAACCCATGTTTCACCTGGCCCCAAATCTTACAGCAAGGTTTCTCAATAGTAGGCTATTGGCCTTTGGGGTGGGATAATTCTGTGTTTCTGAACTGTGCATTGTAGAATGTTTAGCAACAGCCTGGCCTCTTCCCGTTAGATGCCAGTTACAAGAACCCCCCACCTCCAGTTATGTCTCAAAATATTGTCAAATGTCCCCTGGGAAGCCCCATCATCCCGAGTTGAGAACCACTGGTAACTTACTATGTGACCCAGTAACCTCTCTGAACCATGGCTTCAGCCATAAATTAGAGAGAAGGATAAGCCCAGCCATGGGTCTGCTGTTGCACACTTCTCAGCCACTTTCCAGACAGGGACCTGTGTTGACCACCCCTCCTCTGTGCCTGAGGCCCCTCCTCTGGGCCTGTGGCCATAGCAACCTGGAGAATAAGTCTTTAGATAAAGAAAAGCTGACAGAGCACAGTGGCTCACACCTATAATCCCAGCACTTTGGGAGGGTGAAGTGGGTGGATCACTTGAGGCCAGGAGTTCCACACCAGCCTGGCCAACATGGCGAAACTCTGTCTCTACTAAAAATACAAAAACTAGCTGGGCATGGTGCCCCCCCACTCGTATTCCCAGCTACTCAGGAGACTGAAGCAGAAAAATCGCTTGAACCCGGGAAGTGGAGGTTGCAGTGAGCTGAGATCATGCCACTGCACTCCAGCCTGGGCGACAGAGTGAGAATCTGTCTCAAAAAAAAAGAGAGAGAGAGAGAGAGAGAAGCAGTCACAGGGTGGTAGTGAGGACTGGTGCAAAAGTGACTGTCAATAACTTAGCACCTAAAGTAGGGGCTCAAAAATATTTGCTGGTATTATTACATCTACTACCTAATATTTCTGGAAATAATCAGGCTAAGGGATAGAGAAATAAGCTTGGGATGATGGTTGATGATGATGAAGATGATGATGATGATAAATCAAAGAATCCTGCTGTAATTCTTCCACAACAGCAAAAAAGAAGAGCTAATGGTGGGTATAGGATGGACAAGAGTCCTTAAATTCTTAAGTTTCAGCCTGTCGTGTTTGGCTTCATGCACTTTGTTCAGCTGCAAAATGATGGGTTCCTCACCCAGGAAAAGATAGTTTGTGTGTGTGTGTGTGTTTTCCCTGGGAAAAGATAGTTTTGTGTGTGTTTTCCCTAGGAAAAGATTGTGTGTGTGTGTGTTTTCCCTGGATGGATGTTGGAAATCAGAATTGGGGTTTCCACTGGGATTTTTGTTTAAGGGTGCCATCTAGGGGTGTCTGTGTGAAGCTTCGAATCCCTCCCGCTTCTGGCATTTTTGCTGAGCCAGCAGGGTTTGGGTTTTCCTTGTGTGATAGCTGCTTCCTCCACCTCATCATGTGCTCCTTTGGGGTTGGGAATCCTAGACTCTCTCCATGGCTCTCAAGGAACATGCAGTGGTTGGTAAAATGAATCCATGTGCAGCCTCTCCTGTGTCTTCTCAATTACTTGCTACAATGGACTGAATATTTGTTTCTCTAAAATCCAGATGTTGAAATCCTAACATCCAATGTGATGGGATTAGGCATGGGGCCTTTGGGAGGTGATCAGGTCATGAAGGTGAAGCCTTCCTAAATGGAATTAGTGCCTTTATAAAAGAGATCCCAGTTGGCCAGGTGCAATGGCTCACACCTATAATCCCAGCACTTTGGGAGGCCGTGGTGGGTGGATTGCTTGAGTCCAGGAGTTCGAGACCAGCCTGGGCAACATGGTGAAACCCGTCTCTACTAAAAATACAAAAGTTAGTTGGGCATAGTGGCAGATGCCTGTAGTCTCAGCTACTTGGGAGGCTGAGGCAGGAAGATCTATTGAGCCCAGGCAGTCGAGGCTGCAGTGAGCTGAGATCATGCCACTGCACTCCAGCCTGGGCAACAAAGCGAGACCCTGGCTCACTAAAATAAAATAGGTTCCATAGAGCTCTCTTACTCTCCACCATGTGAGGGTATACTGAGAAGTTGGCAGCCTGCAACATGGAAGGAAGCCTTCACGGGAACCAGACCACGCTGGCACCTGATTGTGAACTTCCAGCCTTCAGAGCAGTGAGAAATAAATGTCTATTGTCTATAAGCCGCCCAGACTTTGGCACTTTGCTATAGTAGCCCCTAAGGATTGAAACTCTTGCTCTGCTTAAATGACTATTTTATGCCTCAGGAAAGAGATGCTAGGAACACCAGCCTCTGAATAAGCAATACACAAAAATTCCAGCACTTTGAGAGGCCAAAGTGGGTGAATTGCTTGAGTTCAGAAGTTTGAGACCAGCCTGGACAACATGGTGAAACCTCATCTCAACTAAACACATAAAAGATAACCAGGCATAGTGGCATATGCCTATAGTCTCAGCTACTTGGGAGGCTGAGGCAGGAGGATTTTTTTGAGCCCGGGCGGTCGAGGCTACAGTGAGCTGAGATCACGCCCCTCCACTCCAGCCCGGGCAACAAAGCGAGACCGTGGCTCATTAAAATAAAATGAAATAAAATAAAATAGACCCCAGAGCGCTCTCTTACCCTCTTTCCACCATGTGAGAATACAATGAGAAGTTGGCAGCTGCAACACGGAAGGGGGCCTTCATGGCAACCAGACCACCTTGGGGACAACTTGAAACCTCACTGACCTCTCCTCCCCATGTTGGCAGATTTGGCAAATAAAAACACAGGACACTCAATTCAATCTGAATTTCAGGTAAATAATGGGTAACTTTTTAGTACATGTATAGCCCATGTATTGAATGGGACATGCTTATACTAAACATTCTTTTACCTGAAAAATTGCTTAACTGAAATTCTAATTAACTGGGCACCTTGTGTTTTGTCTGGCGGCTGTATGCACATAGAGTTGAACAGATCGAGAAAGGAGGTGGGGCGCAGTGGCTCACGCCTGTAATCAATCTCAGCACTGTGGGAGGCTAAGGCAGGTAGATCACTTGAGGTCAGGGTTCGAGACCAGTCTGGCCAACATGGTGAAACCCTATCTTTACTAAAAATACAAAAATAAGCTGAGTTTGTTGGTGCATGCCTGTAATCCCAGCTACTGGGGAGGCTGAGGCAAGAGAATAACTTGAACTCAGGAGGCAGAGGTTGCAGTGAGTCAAGATTACACCACTGCACTCCAGCCTAGGCAACAGAGAGACTCCCATCTCAAAAGGAGGAGGAGTAGGTGAAGGAAGAGGAGGGGGGAGGAGGAGGAGGAAGAGACGAAACTTGAAGCCTATATCCTTTCTTAAGAATTATCCAACAGAAAGTTGTCAGACAACAAACAATTCTGATACAGATGTGGTGGCCTGGGGG